CGGCCTCTCTCGCAGCCCCGCGCATTCGGCCCCGCCGCTCCGGCCACTCTGCGCTCGCCCAGCCCAGCCCGAGCGGCCCTGCCAGACGGGCGGGCCCTGCCCAGCGGAGCCCGCAGGTTGTGGGGGTACTGGGGGTGCGTCCGTTGGCAGTTGGGATGAAGGGACACCCCCGTCCCCCGCTCCGGGTGCATCCGTGGCCGCCTTTCTCCCCACCCGGCACTTCTTACCGGCACTTCTCCCCGCGTCACGTCCTGCGCCGGGCGTGGACCGGACAGTCCCGCTGCAGCGGCTGCTGGGGCGCTCCGGGAGGAGACAGGTTGGAGAACACTGAAGGGGGGAGGGTAAAGAAAAGTGGGGGTAGGGAGCTTTCTGGGTTTGTGTATTTGGGGGGTCAGAGTTCGTGACCCCTCCCTCGGCTCCGCGGGGCGCGCTCCCTCCCGCGCCTGCGCATTAGTGGTGTGGCGAAGCGGCGAGGAGGTCGTGACGTTCCTCGGGTGGTGGGAGGAGAGAACCGAGGCTCTGAAAGTCCGCTGCCCCCTGTCGGCTTGGAGGGAGACTGCCCCGCTAGGGCTGCGCGTGCCTATCAGGGACACCGGGAAGCCGCGTGCGCTTGGCATACCGTTTGCCAAAGGCGGTGGTTAAAGGAAGTTTTGAGACGTTTGAGTTCAGTAATAATAATGAGTTTTAGGCAGTTCGGTTTCTAAGTTGTGGAAAACTAGGCTCTGTTACAGGTTCTTAGACCCTAAGGTTTATTAGAGGACTAACGAGTCTGGGTAGATGCCAATAAGAGAATTAAAATTTTCTTAAATAAAACGACAAGCTAGGGCAGAATCCTGTATAGTAAGGCAAAGTTTTCTTATCAACTCTTGTGAGTAAATAGGTAAAATGGCTAAATGGAGCAAGAATATAATGTAATTAGAATGTAAGCTTCCCGAAGGCTGGTTTTTGTGTTTTGTTCAGCTGTGTATTCCCAAGCACACAGAACAATGCCTGATGGTCAATAAAGATTGGTGAAATGGACAGGCATTGACAGAACATCACATTCTGACAGGGGCCACCTGCGACACCGACGTGTGGCAGGAAGAGCTGCCCTGTATACAAAGTACCGTGTGGTCTGGACTTTCAGAGAAGAGGTCCTCGAAGTTTCTTTAGTAGTGTATGGGTTGGCACTAGAAAAGCAGTCACGGACTCAGGCCGGAAACCGAAGTCAGGAAAAACAAATGTGCACTGGGAACGAGAATGTCTCCTCTGTCATCTCCCTCTGGAACTAGGCATCTGGACAGAAAAAGGGCATGGAACAATCCCTAACAAGTGGAAGTATGCTTTTATGCCTCATTCTCTAAAAGCCCCCATCTTCCTTTTAGCATCATTTGTTCTGTTTGGTGGTTTTAAGGCAGTCCCTCTTCCTTCCACCCCCTACATCCTTAAGTTGGTTCCAAAGGTGAAAGTTAAGAAAGTATACTTTGAAAAACAGAAAAAGGCAATTGAGACCTTTTCTCTGTTCTCAGTGCATAATATGCATGCCTATATAGATGCTTGTGGTTACCCACAATTAAGCCAATTAATTCACTTAAGTCACAATAAGTTCGACTTACTAAAACTAAAAGTAGAAGCCATTTTGGGAACATCATTTGGGATGAAGAAGAGCTTCCCCTAATTATGCTTCAGGAAAACAGGTCAGTGAGGTTCATCTTTAAATGTGTGACTAATAAAAAGTTATGATTTAAAAGATATCATCACACTACAAGTAGATATAGTAAATTTATTTCATATAAATATACATATTAACATTATTTACAATGCTAATATTTATAGAGGATCTATATCTCTATATCGACAATAACATACAAACTATTATCACTTTAAGTAAAAAGTGTTTCTAGAAATTCCTTATATCATTTAAAAAAACAAAACAGTATTTCAAGATTGGTTCTTAACATGCTATGACCAACTTATATAAGAGAAAGCTGCCCCCCTTCATCCTTTCCTCCACATCCCCCAAAAAAGGAAAGTGACATTTGGCTTTTGGAAATTTTTCTACTATCTTTATCTTAAAAAAAAAAAAGTCCTACCAGAAATTATCTCTTTTCTTAAAGGGGGAAAAAGTCATAGATAAGATTTTCCTTTAGAAAATAATAGCATTAAAAGTGGCATAGGCTCCAGAATGATATTTGTGTATTGGAGGCCCTCAAAAAAAAAAAAAAATCAGAAGAGATCCATTTAAAGTAATTTAATATACCAAACAAATACTGAGTGTCCCACTGCATGCAAGGCACTCTGCCAGATGCTGAGGGGGGATCTCAAATGAACAAGATACAGTTGCTGTTCTCAAGGACAGAATGGATAAGCACCATAAGAAAGTTTGTTTATGAGCTAAAGGCTATGGGAGCATACAGAAAGGAGAGACCAGATGTCTGGAGGAATAGGGGAGAGAAAAACTAGGATCAACTGTTACAGAGAAGTCTTGGACAAATAGGCAAAAATGGGGGAGGGGGTGAGAAAACAGCATGAACAGAGAAAGGCTGAGTTGAGGTTAGCTGAACTATATGATACCTGAGGAAAAGTGTTCCATGCCAAGCCACTGGGAAGCCAATGAAAGTTGTAAAGAGCAGGGATGAAACTAAATTTTAGAAGAACTTTAGAAGATGGCTCTGGCAGTGTTTAAAATGGGACCACACAAAGAAGGCATTGGAATTAGAAGAAAAGTTATCCTAATCATTGGGAAGAGGTAGCAAAGACTTGAGCCAGGGCCTATGCAACAACAGAAGGGCAATGAAGATGGAACGGATACAAGAGCAACTGCAGTCTCACCGACGTGGAGGCAGACTCTGCAGCTTAGAATGGTATTTTTACATTACAGAAGAAAATAAACAGACTTGAATGAAAAGACAGTGAGTTGAGTTTTAGTCATGAAAAGTTTAAAATGCTTAAGGACTCATGTACATATCCAGCAGGTGGTTGCAAATAAGGCCTTGTAGGATGGTGGAAAAGTGTAGGTCTAAGATGTGAGTTATAATGAGGGCATCTTGGGGGCTGTGTTTGAGTTGTAGATGACAAGAATCCTGTCCTCACTTTCTTCAATTCAACAAATAATTTCTCTCAAAAGATACAGGATAGGTATTTTGTGAGAAACTGATATCTTAGATATAATATCTGCCTTCAAGGAGTGTGAGGTACGGTAAGAGAAAATGGATTTACTTCTCTGGAAATCCTGTTGACTACATTTGACTACAATGGATCTCAAACTTCAAAAAATGAGTATAATGGAAGCACACTCCAAGACATAGCAACATATGCTGTGATGACATTTACATTTTAACTAAATTACCAAATAGCAGACTTTCCCTATTTCTCGATATAGTCTACCAACCAAATATAAAATATACATTTGGCTAACAAAATTACACTTTAAAGTTGTCTTCACTTAGTTGCTTCATTACAGTTTTATATTAAACAAAATTGGCTCTGATGATCTTCTTTGAAGAAATACTGCTACATACTCCAAGAATCAAGCTTTTGGTTGAAGAAGAGAGAATTAAGTATCTTGGGCAAAGGACAAAAGGAGAATACTGGGTATATTAGAGAACACGGGGAGAGAGGTTGGAGAGAGGTTCAGAAATCCAAGATGATGCCAAAGAAACCCTTTTCCATTTTCCTAGGACTTTGGTGGGTCCTCTACATTTACAGCTGCCCTGGGTAAGGGAGGAACATAGTTGGGGACATGCACCTTAAGGATGCCAGCCTTCCCCTAGTTTAACCTGGCATCTCTTGTCTAGGTTACTTTCAGCAGTCTTTTTAGCTTAGCTTTATAACTGCTGCTTCTTTCTCCTTATGAATGAAAGGAGATACCTGAAAAGGGTTTGATGGAAGCACATGTTATCAGTGTAATAAACACAGTATTCCTTGGGATCTAGGTACTATTTATACTTCTCATTTATAGAATGTACCCAGTAATATTTTTTCTCCAAAATATTAACTATCAGGAGAGATTTTTTTTAAGTAGCTTTACAACAAAAGGTTTCTTGGTGGACATTCAATGAGCCAAGTTAAATAAATAACTGATCAGCTTTAGTAAGTTATGAACGATTGATAAGGGGGAAATGGAATGTAATACTATTTCACATTTAAAACATCTTTATGGGGGGGTGGTAATCTGATAGCTTCCTCAAAAGGCTATATTTTATATTTTTCAAAACCCTCCATGGGGCTAAGCCAACAGCTAGTACAATCATACATGAGTTTCACATGTAATTAATTAGGAGAATTACTAGAAGTTTGTGCAGTGTTTCTTCTATTTAGATATATAACGGCTTCCTGATTCAGCCAGCCATTGGAAGATAGAATAGCCTGGCTGATATTTCTTAGATTCTGAGGTTAAAACCAAACCTTGCAGTCAGAAGGTCAAGAGCTCAAGAGGAGGAAGGAAGAACTCCAAATAACTTGTTTTGCGAAATGCCAGACCCAGTGAAGCAGAGGGAAGTACTTTGTAAGGTATAATCTTAGTCTCCAAAAAGGATACACCAAAAACTGCAGGGATTTTAACATGGAAGCCTTATTTATGCTATCTATCTTGATTAAAATTAATGAGTTGCAAAGAAGTATTAGTTTACTTACAGTGACAGAAGACTTGGGAGATAGCATGTGAGGATTATGTGTGAGGTTGCAAGAGGATTTAAAATGATTCCATAGCAAGCAATAGCTAGAAAAAACTCCAGCAGCCAACTCTAGATTTAGTAGGCACTCGGGTGCTGCAACAACATTCAAAAGGCTTCAGAAAGGCACTCAGCAATTCTCTTGGCAATCATAAATATCACACTGAATTAGGAAATCCTTTACATAAAAGCAGAAAGGGAAATTCTTGTGCCCTTTAATGAAATATTCTATGGATCACCTTGCCATTTAAGATAATTTAGATTTAGTTTAAGCTCAGTCGATAAATGATATTAACATCAGGAATGACTTTACTCATAGCATTAATTTCATTTTTCTTCTGCTAATCAACAATTTTACGTACAAAGTAGTTCATACATTAAACAATAAGTGCACCAGAATTATGAATATAAATCTTTCCTAATGAGGTGCACTGACAGTTGGTTCAAGAAATAAAGGATTTTTTTTTTTTAATTCCCCGGGAGGACATAACAAAGTGATATTAAAAGACCTTTAAAAAATGAATACTATACAATTTCAGGTAATACTGGCTTAGAATTTGTGCTTTTTTGATATGGTAATTCCAGTTCATTTTTTAAAGCACAGTATTATAGGAAATGTAACATTCTTCTTAGATACAAATACTACCACCATTGATTTGGGCTCAGAACTCTTACATTAGCAAGGGACATTATGTAATATAATGCTTACTATATTTTGTTTTTAAAAAAATAATACATTATGTTTGTGTTGAACTGGTAGCTTTTAAAAGAAGATTAGACATTGTA